GGCAGAGAGTACACGGGTTCAAGAACAGGGAAGTAAGTGGAATCAAGGAGGCCTGTGCGTGCAGCAAGGAGCTCCTTGTGGAGAGGTGTGAGGAGGCTCCCCAAAGAGATTTCCAGACAACCTGGAATCAGATCAAAAGGGGTGAATCAAATACCTCTGACAGGTGGGACAGCATGTCCGTAGTTACAGAGGCATGAAACAACAGGGCAGTTTTCTGGGAAACTCAACAGCACAGTGGCCGTTAAGAGTGTCAGGAGATGAGGATGAAGCAGGGGAATCCAGAGTGTGCACTCTGGGCCAGCAGCATCGGCATCCCCTGTGTGCTGGTTAGACATGCAGATGCATGGGCCTTGCCTGAATCTACTAAATTGGAGTCTAGGGAGAGAAGATCCAGGAAACTGTGTTGTCTCATAAGGTCTCCCCCTAATTCTCAGGTACAAAAACCCTTGAGAGCTGTTGAATTTGAAAATTAAACTACGTCTACAGAACTCCAAAAGCTGATCTGAGAAAAGCCTATGGATAACACGTTCTAGAAGATCTTAGTTTTTGTGGCTGGCTGGGCCTACTTTCTAAACACAGCAACAATCAGAAGGAATCAGTTGTATGAAATGTAATCACTATAAGGCATAAAGCGAAACAGGTGACTTTTCACAAAAATGCCTTAAAGGCTAGGCCCTATTGTGTCTATAAATCAAGATCACATTTATTTTTGTGAAGGGAACAGCTGTGCTGTCTGTCTGGGTTACTGGCATACCTAATTATAGCAGGGTCCACTTCTCTGGCCACGGCAGACTTAGTCTGTTGCACAGGGAGATTATCTCGTGGACAAACACTTTTGAACCAACTTCAACAAAATGGACTTACCTCATTCTTTAATCATGGCTAATTAAAGACACCCTTCTGGAACAGATAGGCAGGAACTTTGCTTTCTTTTAAAGTTGCAAACAAGCCCTAGAATAAACACTTCCCAGAGAACGTTTCTATTTATGAACATATAACATGAATGCAACTGTGCAGGCATTTCAGAACCTCCCCACTGCCAAAGTAGAACATGGAAGCCCGCCACGCCAATACACAATTAGAAAACCGGGCTGCTGTGCCATCTTCTTCCTCCTTCTCTCCCCCTCTTTGAATCCCTGATACCTACTGAATGCAAATGACAAGGATGGGGTTGTTCTTCCAAACCCATGGGCCACAACTGGCAGCCTCCGTTTCATAGGGCACCTATGTGCCAAGTGGTTCTGACAGCAGTCACTGCGCCATAACGTCAGCCAGTCCTTCCACCACTCACATCACACCAGGCACTAAACGTGTGTGTGTCATAATTTAATCCACTATTTTGAGTTAGACATTGTTATTGTGCTAGTGCCATTTTTACAGAAGAAGAAACTGGGCACAGAGTCATTAAGACCTCAGGGTTCACGCTATGGTCTTTCCATGTTCTCTACATCCATTTCTTCCTTTCACCTCAAAACAACCTTGAAAGAGATGTACTATTAGCTCTATTTTTGTACTTCGTAAAAATCGAGGATGGGGGGGATGATAATTTGCCCAAGGCTACCTAAGGAATCAGTAGGAAGGTCAGTGCAGCACTGAATTTGACTTCAAAGCTCACTTTCCTCCGTCTACACCATACTGCTATTGGCTAAAAGAAGGATCACTGGCACAGGAGGGCTCTGGTAGGTTTAGGGCAGTTCAATTTTATAAGCCACATCCTAAAGTGTCTCAGGCTATAAAAAGATACAGTTCTCCTGGCAGGGGACACTGGAACAAAACTAGAGGTCAAAGGTCCCTGGAGAACAGGAGTGTGAAAATCATGGTTAATGAGTCTACCAAAGCCTTTGGAAGAAATGAGATGGGGAGAAAGGTAAAAGGACTGAGCCATGGTTGGCAGGTCGTGCAAGGAGCATGGTGTCCTGGTGGTGAGGCCACCTTTTCCAGTGGCCTCTCCCCTTGCATTTTCAGGGACATTGGCTGGGTCAGGGCCATAGCCCATGGTTGTAGCCAGAAGCTAATGTGTTCCCTTATGAGATGTGATCTCAGTCACTTATTGCTCCGGCCAAGTGAGCTAAAAGACCATAGATAATAGAACCCTTGTCATGTTGTTTTCCTCAGAATTCTGGGATGAAAGAAAAAGGTAAATTAGAAAACCGGGCTGCTGTGCCATCTTCAGCCAAGGTAAAGCCTAACCTTGTGCGCGCGTGCGCGCACACACACACACACACACACACACCACATACAGCACATACACAACAATGAAGCCAACTATATTTTTGATGAATGCTTGGTGGGGTTTTCCAAGAATCTGACAAAATAACACTTGAAAGGGGTTTAGCATAGCCTTAAGATTCATGAGAACTATTAATCTCCCCATGCTATCATTTCACCAAATTAATTAACAGAGGTGCAGAAAGGGGGTTTCCTTAGGGGGTTTCCAAACCAGGGGTGTGATTATCCATCCTTAAGTTTATAGTGACACACTTAAGTAGCACAGTAGATAAACAGCAACCTTATATTTAAACCATGTGGAGCTTTCTATTTTTAGGAGAGAGAACCTACATGGGGGAAAGAAACAATGATTAATTCAATTTAATAATTCATTGAGGGGCTGGGGTTGTGGCTAGCATGTGTGAGGCACTGGGTTCGATTCTCAGTACCACATAAAAATAAATACATAAAAAAAAATAAAAACCCATCTACAACTGTACATATATATATATATAATTTTTTTTTTCATTGAATTTTCTGGCGTTAGGGCCTTGGGGAAAGGTAGTTTAAAATAACATTTTACGTAATTTTAATCAGCCATCATTAGAACAGGTTTGTAATGGCCTGCTAATAACATTTCCTAAGTGCAGTAAGTTTTATGATGGCAGGACTGTGTCTCATCAGTCAAGTGGTCAGTGTTTAAAGAAATGCCCAGCCCATGCTCAACATCCACCTGTCTGTGTCTGTCTGTCTGTCTGTCTGTCTGTCTGTCTATCTATCTATCTATGCTTATGGTTCCTACCTGTTTACTGTTATGATATTGATGGTGATGATGATGTTGGTGGCAGTGCTATGTACTTGGGAAACGATATCCATTATTCTCTCAATAATGCTACCAGGTAGTAACCTTACTTCACAGGAGAGGGAAATCAGGATTAGTGACTCACTGTAACATGGTCAGGCCACACTGCTAGAAAGTGATAGAGCTGGGATTCAAACTAAAGTCTCCCTGCTTCTGGAGTCTGAACCTTTATTGCTATTCCAGACTGCCTGCCTATAGCCAGTGTTGGATTGCTATGGAAAATTTGAATTCTTGCCTCAAGTCAAGAGAACACATTTTTGTAGGGGAAAAGAAACTATAAACCAGCCAACAAATAAATGAAAAAGAAAACATAATAGTAGACATTGATAACAGCCAGGATGAAAATAATAAAGATACCATGAGAATAAATAACATCCAGGTGTGGTGGTGCTTGCCTGTAATCCCAGTGGCTCAGGAGGCTGAGACAGGAGAACCACAAGCTCAAAGCCAGCCTCAGCAATGTCAAGGCACTAAGCAACTCAGTGAGACCCTGTCTCTACATAAAATACAAAATAGGGCTGGGGGTGTGGCTCAGTGGTTGAATGCCCCTAAGTTCAATCCCTGGTACCATGCCCCGCTCCCCCAAAAAAGAATAAATAACAGAGGCATCAAACTGGAAAGAAGTCTGTCAGAGATTTAAGTCGACATTTGCCATGTGAGAAAGAGCTAGAAGCAAAGCAGTTCAGGGTGGGGGCTAGGGAGAGCTAAGGGCCTGGGAAGGCAAGAACCCGGTGAGTCCTAAGAATTGGGAAGGGAGCCAGTCTGCAAAGCTCAGTGGTCTGGAGGGAGGCAGAGGTGTGCTGAGCCAGAACAGGTAGGCAGGGGAAGGTCTGTGAATGACCTCTAGGGCCACTGTGAGAGTTGAAATTCAATTCTGAATGCAGAAGGGAGCCAGCTGCTGGGGGATTTTAAGGGAAGGAGTGATGGGTTAGAGCAGCTTCCATAAAGATGGTACCTGTGGCTGGGAGGGGAATGTGTTCGAGGTCACTGAGTGGCTGTGTTCACCATGGCAAAACATGTCCTTCTGTCCCTTGTTACAGGCACTGAACAGACTGGCAAATAAGACTGCCACTTGCCATCTGGTGTTTTACAGCTGGAAGGACACTCAGAGAGTGTGAATAATGTGGTTTTGAGACTTTTGGATTTCACAGAGCAATAGAAAAAATGATGGATTCACAGTACAGCAGCTTTCAGTTAGAGATGGAAAGTAAAATCTCAGCTGTCATTGATGATCATCTTCATTTTGTGGAAGAAAACGCTTTTTAGAACTAAAAATGTAAGGACATAATCTTAGAGAAACAAAAAAGCCCAGTTCTGGGGGGTCATACCAGGGATTGAACTCAAGGGCACTTGACCACTGAGCCACATCCCCAGCCCTATTTTGTATTTTATTTAGAGACAGGGTCTCACTGAGTTGCTTGCTTTTGCTAAAGCTGCTTTGAACTCATGATCCTCCTGCCTCAGCCTCCCAAGCTGCTGGGATTACAGGTGAATGATGGAAAATGCTACACTTTCCCTTCATTTTCCACATTTTGCTCTAAAACCAGTGAACACCTCATTAACAGATCAGGTACAAATCCACAGATGAGTGTGTAGAGCATCATACTTAGGAACCACTGATCCCACTCCCGCAGCATGTAGCTCCCCTAGGGTGGTGACAAGGTTGAAAGGCAGAGACTGCAGGTTCATCTCATCCCATGACACCACCAGGCTGCATATTTCAGCTTATTAGCTTTGCTTTGCAAGCTTCAGACACTGGACTGACTGCTCTTGACTAGTGTGGTATACACCACCGCATTTATCTCTCTGCCCATGTTTCTGAGCACTATAACATCAATTAAGAAAAAAGACCTCAATGAAACAGCTCTTGGCCTGGAGCCCCACAAAATGGAATCATCTTCTTTTTAAAGAGGATTGAGGTGTATCTCACCTGATCTTCAGATACGCTGCGACCCCAAACACCAACAACACCACGGCAATGACGGTCACTGTAATGGCGGCAATGCTGCCTGCAAAGGAGGAAAGGCAGAGAACAGAAAATAAAGGGGAGAACATGATGACCACGGTGGCTAATACCCACTTTCACCTGACCCCATTTTTCCTCTCTAATACCCACCCTTACCTGACTCCATTTTTTCCTTTGGAAGAGAAAAGAGTTATTTACTTGAATCATTCTTAAGGGAAGTCAGAACTGGGACAAAACCCAGGATCTTTATTTTTCTTTTCAGTTGTAGATAGACAAAATACCTTTATTTCTGTTTGTTTATTTTTATGTGGTGCTGAGGATTGGACCCAGTGCCTCACACATGCTAGGCAAGTGCTCTACCACTGAGCCACAACCCCAGCCCCCAAAACTCAAGATCTTAATTCTGTTACTAGAATACTTTTTTTAAATACCAACTGAAGTTTGGTAAATGGTCTATATTATTTTGGTATTTATTAAGAACTTCTGGTTAGCTTGGAATTCAGAGAACAGTATACAGCTATATTTGATTATTTTTTTAAGAATGACAGTGGTCAGCTACTGCTGCTGTTGTTCACAGGGACAGTGGATTTTAAATCTCTTGATGTCTTCTTTTATAGGCTCTGGCTCATCTTCCATCATTTTTGAGATATTGGAAGATAGGATGTTTTATTCAAAGGTCACTACAAGTAATCTGATTGTTTCTTTAAATAAACCAAAACCATGAAGTTATATTTTTAGTGTCTACTTTAAAGGGTCACTTTGATATGAGATGCACCCATTTGAATGATGCCAGCATATCAAAATGTTTTGTAAAACTTCCTTTTGGGAAGGGTGTCCAGCTTTCAGCCTTAAACAGTAAATTTGAAAAAGTCCAGTTTGGTGGACAAAATAAGGTCAAGCCTAGTAAGTAACACAATTTTTTTGTTGTTTGTTTAAGTAACCAGATACAATTATAAAGTAACATGAATGCTTTATTCTGTAGTTTGAAATCTGGTTCCAAAAGCAACTATTAATGGGCAGTTAAAAAAAAATCCTTTGAGCACATTGCCTTGTAAGAATAACCATACTGCCTCTGAATACTACTCCAGAGCACAATACCCCCTTTGTGTGAGCCTTGGCCTAATGTATAAACTGCAGTTTTATTCCACCTTAGAAATGCCAAGAATCAGGCTTTTGTCCCTAATACTTCAAGTAACAGTTTGGCATTAAAGCTAGTGTTAGGGACCCACTGATTATTTCAGTCCACTGGGAAATCATTTACTACTTCAACCAATGAATGGGAGCATAAGAGATTTGAAGTCGGACATGTGGATTGATGTGTGGTCCAGCCATAATTAGCTGTGTGACCATAACTGTTTACTTAACCCTACCTGCTTTTGCATTACTCACCTGCAGGAAGAGAGAAATGAGAGTGTTCTACTTACCTCACATAGCTTTAAGGGAATTGAATGAGATGTCACAACTACCCAAATGCACAATCCCAGGCCAACTCCTGACTCTCACATATTAGGTAGGTCTCAAAGGTGATGGCACTCCTCCACATTTCTAGAGATTTATCATTCTAGGTTGTTTTGCCATCCATCCTTTTATTTTTTTCCCTTGATATGAATGGTTTTATTTATTGTTCTTTTCATTATCCCTTCCACCAAAAGATTTAGAGCATAGTTAAGAAGCAAAGCTACTTATTAGCACTTTAGTAACTCCCCAAAAGCTTTTGATGGAAGAAGGCTATATCAGGCACCCATATTTTCAGTGGTTCGTAATTTCTTAAGGAGAACCAAAGGGGATCATTGCTAACATAAAGCCAAAGACTAGCTCTTGATGTCTCTATGGAGACTGACCACATTCAACCATTGCAATGAGTAAGACCCTTCTGGACACTCATGTATTTATTTCTTTGCTCCTGAAGTCCTTTTGAGTTAGATTAGTATAATTATCAGTATAATTCTCTTTACCTTTTTATTATGTAAAGAAAAAATAATGGCACTGAATGCTCAGCTGTGCAGATGGTGTCAAGCAGAGAAAGTCTGAGGTCGGATCCTTTTATGAAACCTCCATTCCTACTTTGTGAGGCGGCTCTTAGCTTCTTGGCCTCCAAACTGTGCTGAAATCGGAACAATTCAAAGTTCACTGAAGCCTCATAACAGCTCTTTTAAGAGCTTGTGAAAGGATTATAACCACAAGGTAAAGTAATGGGGGTATTTTAAGATTGAAAAAAATACAGTCATTGCAATTAGGAGCAGTAAAGAAATTGACCTTTTAATTTCTCCCTTTTAGAAAAAGGGAGAAGAGAAGGAATACAGTTGATTTGCCTATAAGACTTTTCTTTCTTGCCCCAGGGATAGTTTCATACAGGAAATCTTGGGGTTGACCTTTTTCAAAGTTTCTTCCCTAACTCTATGCAGTTGGGTCTCCTCCAACTCTTGAGATTTACTGGATTTATTTATATACCACTTCTAACTAAAGATAAATCCGGCAGTTTCTAACTCCAGCACTGTTCTTTTTTTGTTGTTGTTGAGACAGCAAGTGATAAAGTGACCTGCTTCTCCTTCATGTGACAGGGGACTCTCTAACTCTGGGTGTAACCTGTCTTTCAAATGGGGCTCAGCAAGGCTACCCTTCCTTGTCCATAGAGGACATCATCGAGTATGAACAGAGCTGGAAATTGCAAGTGACTGCCCACCTGATAAGCATTTGGGGGCAGCTGGGCAAAGGGACACTTCTGAGAGTTGATATGAAGCCAAAAGGTCTGAGGTAAAATAGTTCAAATATCTGGACTTCTTTTTTAAGCATTCTGCCATCCACTGGCTTGTCTGAGAGGGTGCTAGCCATGGGAGCCAGAATCTTCTGGAAGTAGACCTTTGCCAGCCCTGAGTCTAGAAGATCCTGTGTCCTGAACTTCCTCCCAGTTCCTCAGCAGCTGATGCCTCAGAAGTTTCTGGTAACCTCAGCTCTGGGAAGTTCCACACCTGAGGGCTTCATGATTTGAGCATAAGAGGGTTGCTGAGCCAAGATTAGCAACGGTAACTGAAAAGGCTTTATTTCCTCCTTGTGAAAACAAATGTCATTTCCCCTGAGTTTTGTTTAAACTAATCTGGAATTTCCCTTGTCCTCCTCCTCTCTCTTTTTTCAAGGTGTGGCAGGGACAAGAAAAATGAAGATAGTGTGGCTGGAGGCAGGGGAGGCTTTGCCCCAAGAGGAAGGTGTTGAGTCCTTGGTGGGCTGTGTCCTGGGAGTGGAAGGATGGGACAGGTGGCTGGCATTTCAGTTCTTCCTCATTGGGGTTTGTGAGTTACAGGCTGGATATGACTCATGGTGCACAGCTCTGGAATGAACAGAAACTAACAGAGAATTGGAGACACTTTTCTTTCTATTTTATAAGCCAAGATACAAGAATATTACACTGTGCTAGAACATTCCATTGTGCCAACATGTTCTGCCTCACTGAAGAGCTGTTAAAGATCCATAAACCAAAGCCTCCTTGAATTTTGTGCTTCCTGGAAGCCTGGCATCTCTCTATGTGCCTTTCTGCCACTTTCCAAATGGCTCAGAACAAGAATAAATGGGTTCAAGAATAACCATAACTGCTTACATGTTACAGGTGATTACTTTGGACTGGCACTGTGCCAAAAGCTTTACAGCTCTTCCCTTGTTTAATATTCTTTATGAGATGAGGGGACTTATTCCCATTTTATAGATGAGGAAGTTAAGGGCCAGGGTGTTTAAAATGTGATTGAGGTTTTCCATCTGGTAAATGATTGATCTAGCAACTGAACCTAGCACTATGCATCCAGCGTTTGCATTTTAAACATCAGTACACTTCCCTCCTCTGGCCCTTCCTCAGCTTGTTAGCTCTTACTCTTACTTCAAGACCTATCTATCAGTGCTTCTGAGAAGCGTTCTCTTACCCTCCCAGGCAAGCAACAGAGCTGCTGTGTTCTCCAGCCTGTTTCCTTCTTCATCCATCTTGTGGCTCTTTCCATCTCTTTGTATGCTGTTAGCACCAGGCACAGTGTCTATATAATGTCTTTTATTTAATATTAAACAAATGAATGTATTGGTGGGAAAAAGTGATAACTGGAACTTTTCTGACCCCAGTCACTGTGCTAAGAAAGTTCTCAAGCAGCAGGCTCTCTACCTGTTCATTTTGGAATCCTCTGTTCCAGGTCTTGTCTGAGTCTTTAGTCCTGTGATTATATCTGTGGTTCTACCATACCAGTCCCTTCCCCGCCACACTGTACCTGTGAGTCCCCAGGGATGAATGGAGGGGTATTAATTTAGGAATATCCAAGTGGAGTCAGATGGTACCCAGGAAGCAGCCCCAGCAAACTCCAAGAAGGCCTTGTTGCTAGTCAGATCCGGTCAAGCACTACACTGAGGCACTGCTGGGATAAGCTGCAGGATCATCTTAAGGAGCCTCTCTCCCCATGTCTACAACTCACTCAGAGACAGGTATGCCTTCTCTTTATCACACCCTCAGAGAGACTCTGCTCCTGTCCACTCAATATCCCCCACACTCACTGAATGTGCTCTCTGGTCTTTAGGGGCTTAGCAATATTCCCAAGTTCCTCTGGGGACTCTTCTCATTGAGGGATTTCTTCCCTGCCCTCACCTTTAAACATGAAAGTAATATTGCATCTGAAGTCTTTGGCAGAAATGCTTGCAATAATATCCAAAATGAATATATTAGGATGTTCTGGGGTGAAGCTAAATAGCCTGTGAAAGAAAGAACATAACTAGACTCTTTTTTTTTTTTAAGCTGTTGCTTTTTCTGTGAGAGCTGGGAGCAAAGGAGGTGCTGGTAGAGTTTCCAGGGTGAATCAAAGGTGTGTGCCTTACTCTTGCCCATAGTTCCTAGTCCTGACCTGCATGCTTCTGGTGAATTCATCAGTCTGTGTACCTAGAACATGCATGCCAGCGCTTGACCAAGGTCGTGGGTGCATGTGCACGCCTCTGTGATCTATTTTGAGAAGAGTGTTGAACAAACCTCTTGACTGTTCATCATTATTCTTGCTCTTTTCTTCCTTATTCCTGGTCCAGATA